CCCCCACCACCCCCCCCCCCCCCCCCCCCCCGAAACCACTAATCCATTTTCTATCCCTATGGATTTGCCTATTCTGGACATTTCATATAAATGGAATCATACAATAGGTGATCTCTTGCAACCAGCTTCTTTCACTTAATATGTTTTCCAGGTTCATCCGTGTTGTAGCATGTGTCAGTCCTTCAGGCCTTGTATTTTCCCCACCCTGGCCCTGGGGTCAGCCATTTCTCTAGGAGTCCTGGTTCCTCTTATTGGAGGATATGACAGCAGTTTTTTAATTCTATCATTCTCTTCCCCTCCATTTGTTTATTTATGTCAGAATGGACTCAGATTCCTATTTTATTCAGTGGGCTATAATCCATTAGTATTATTTTGATGCTCAGATATTTGGCCACTGGGAGCCCATTCAAGCTGGCTCTTTTGTCCTTTCCGCATGTCACCACCATTCTTTGAGCACTTCCTTGCTTTCTAATACAACAGGTGTTCGAGGTTCTTCTTGTACTTTCCCTGCCCCCAATCCTGGAATCAGCTATTCCTCCAAGGAGCTCTGGTTCCTTTTAGTAGAACATGGGACTCAGAAGCTGAGACCTGGATGCTAGGTGAGCTCCTTGCTCCTGGAGTGAGCTCCCAGCCCTTCTCAGTGGACACAGCTAAGAAGTATATATAAATATACATATGTAATACAGAGATAGATGGATAGATAGATAGATAGAGACACGCAGACACATACATACATATACACACACATTTATATTTCTCTCTTTATGTATCTATCTATATTGAAACCCAAGAGCTTCCACCAATGTCTCTAATTCCCATCCAACACCACAGGGTTCATTCTAGTTTTCTCCCTTTCCATATTTGTAACTCCCTTCTCTGACAGTGGGAATCCTCACTCCCATTATCCTTATTATATCTCCTTTCTGGATCAGTGCCCCGTATGTAACCAGTCTCCCACAGCCGTCTCAGCTTTCCCACGTGGATACCTCAGCCTGCTGGCGCTTTGACATGCACGCCGGGCTGCTACTGCCGCTCCCCACAAATGCCCTTCTCATCCCACTCAGGCTCTAACAGGCATATTTTTAAGGCTTTTGATACATATTCCCAAATTTCCCTCCAGCAAGCCTAGACCACTTCACACTCCCACTCCTAACGTAAGAGTGAGTGCCTACTTCCCTGCTGTCTCACCAACAATGAGCGTCATATTTTATTTTCCATCTCTGCCAATCTGAATTGGAGAAAAGCTGTTTCTCATTAATCGTGCCTCCTAAGAGCAGTTTTTATTTTTTTGATGGTCATTCATAGTACATCTTTTGTGAGTTCATCATTAGTTGCCTTCAAATTCTCCAGTTCTGAGATTTAGCAGTTATATTTTTCCTTGCTAAGTAAATTAAATGTTGGGTTTCAGATCAACAGTCAGCCCTTTGTTGAACGTCAGCAGTGTATGCATGTCAGTTTGGGCTAGTCGGAGAAGACTTGGGTGGACAAAGAGACGCTCCCAGTTCTCACTGGGACAGGGAGAGGACGCTGCATGGAAAGGTCCTGGGAGCCCTGTCTCTCCTGGGGAGCTGACTCTTTCTCTCTGGACCCCCCAGGTCTACATCCGTACGCCTTCTGGTGAGGTGCAGACAGTCCTTGTGCAGGACAGCCCTCCAGCAACAGTTGCGACCACCTCCACCACCACTTGTAGCAGCCCTGCGTCCCGTGCTCCCCATCTGAGCGGGACCAGCAAAAAGCACTCGGCCGCAATTCTCCGGAAAGAGCGTCCCCTGCCAAAGATCGCCCCTGCCGGGAGCGTCATCAGTCTGAACGCAGCCCAGCTGGCGGCAGCGGCCCAGGCCATGCAGACCATCAACATCAACGGTGTCCAGGTCCAGGGCGTGCCCGTCACCATCACCAACACCGGTGGTGAGGGAAGGCCTCTGGGCCGAGGCATGGGCTGCATGCCTGCACACCCCGCACATGGGAACTGTGGGCCAGCCTGGGGGGATACTGCCCGACCTGTGCCCGGTCCCCTCCAGCTTAAAAGCACATCCACTTGGTCCTTACAGTAGTCCTGTGAGATAGTTTAGACACGTGTTGGCCCCACCTGTCAGCTAAAGTCCTTGGATAGGATGGAGAAAATAAGATGTACTCAGGAAGACTCTCCAACTAACATACAAATGCACATTCGCTTGGTACAGACCAAAGACAGATGTTCAAGGGAGGTTCCGGGCAAAGGAACTTGAAGGAGGACTTCTGGAAGGAGAAAGCCTTGAGTTAAGATGGGGAGGAAAAGAGGGGGCCTTTGGCAGTGGGAATGGCTTGTGCTGCACTAGTTCAGTGGTGACATTTGGTAATATTGACAGTGTGAAAGCAGCCTTGGGAATAATTAAAGGAAAATTGTAGCTACCTAGGAAAAATGGTTCCCTGCATTTTTTAGCTGGGTGAAGGGCACTTTTCAAGGTAGTGGGAGCTTTCTGAATCTCCTCTCTTCATTGCTAAATGAATTTATGGTACTTTGTCGAGGACTTGATTGTTTCCAAAGCCCACAGAACTGTTTTCTCACTCTTATTAACACAAATCCCTGGAGATTTTCCTGAGAGCAGAGCTGGTATCTCACAAGGGCCTAAGCCTGGAGGAGATTCTGGAAGAAACACTCTAAGACAACCCAAGACAAGACACTCCTCAGTTGAAATCATGTGGGCAAGGTCTGACAGCGAATTGGGCGTGTGCAGTGTAGTGGTTCAGAGCATTGACTGAAGTCGACTGCCCGGGTTCAGATCTGGGTTCTACCACTTATTAGCTGTGTGACCTTGATATGTTATTGAGCCTCAGTTTCTTCAGCTGTAAAAAGGGGATAATAGTACCTATTTCATAGAATTGTAAAGGTTAAATGAGTTAATACATTTCAGGTCTCTAAAATGGTATCTAGCATATAACAGGTTCCTGAAAATCCTAGCTGCTATGATTATTTTCCTTACCCTGTGCAGAAGGGAAGAAGGGTGTCAGGCTCCCTCCTCCGCCCTTTCAGGCTTCCTCACCCTGAACCGTGCCCTCCTTCTCCCCGCAGGGCAGCAGCAGCTGACGGTGCAGAATGTTTCTGGGAACAACTTGACCATCAGTGGACTGAGCCCCACCCAGATCCAGCTGCAGATGGAGCAGGCCCTGGCCGGAGAGGCCCAGCCCGGGGAGAAGCGGCGCCGCATGGCTTGCACGTGTCCCAACTGCAAGGATGGGGACAAGAGGTACTTCGAGGAGAGGGCCCAGACCCCAAGCCTGGCATGTGCCTCGTTCCCCAGGCGCCTCCCTGGGACACAGACCCAGAGGGGACGAGGTGGCAGCTCCATGCCACCTGGCCCCGTCACCTTTCCTGTGCTCTCTGAGCTGACCCCACATCCTCTCTCCATCCTGTCCTGCTCCCATCTTCTGCCTCCTCCCTCGCTCCTCTTCCCATTCCCTCCACCCAATTCCCAGGTCTGGAGAGCAAGGCAAGAAGAAGCATGTTTGCCACATCCCCGACTGCGGCAAGACTTTCCGTAAGACGTCCTTGCTGCGGGCCCACGTGCGCCTGCACACCGGCGAGCGGCCCTTTGTCTGCAACTGGTTCTTCTGTGGGAAGAGGTTCACACGGAGTGACGAACTCCAGCGGCACGCCCGCACCCACACAGGTCTGCTCCCCCTCCCCAGCGGCCCATCAACCCACAGGGCTGCTCCTCAGCCCCACCTCTGCCCTGGCACGCCCGCACCCACACACGGCTGCTCCCGGCCTCTCCCCTCACCCCACTCCCTTGCCCTCAGTGACATCGAGATTCCTGGCCCTGCCAAGGAACTGCCACACTGAACGAGAGCCACAGACTGTCTTCTTGGGGGGTCCAAGACTACCCAGGAAATTCTTCCGTGCCACTCCTTTAGCACAGTGTTTCCTGAAGTAATGTCATTTGCATTACACAGCCTTGGTGACTTCTGCCATAGCTGCAGTTATTTATTTAACAAGCAGTGACATAGTCAGTGCCAGGCACTGTACTGCGCAATTTACACTTAACTGCGCACTTTATACTACACTTCAATCTTCACAGCAATGCTATGGGCAGGGTACATTGGTTGCGTCCATTTTACTGAGAAATGGAGAGGTGGCCAGGTCTCATGGCTATGACTGGTAGGGCCAGGTTCAGACCCAGGCCCTCTGGCTCCCAAATCCACACCCTTCATCACTAGCCCACACTGCCTTTCCCACTATTATTTACTGGATGATTTTCTTTAAATCATTTCACTGTTTTTACTCATTTATGTCCAATCACTATTATTTTTGACATGACAGGCTTGATATCATAGTTATATGTTTTAATGCACTGGCAAATAAATACAAAACTATAAAAATGAAAAATGTTCATCCCTCTCCCACCTGAACTTTCTTGGGTACCTCCAGTGGTCCACAGCACATACTTTGAGAACTGCTGCTATAGTGAATGTCGCCAGTGTGCACGCAGACCCCTGTCCTGGGACTGTGACTGGGGTCACGTGGCCCAAAGCTCGGGCTCCTGGGCAGTGGGGCAGGTCACGCCTAACCCTTGAGGCTGCAGAGTAAATACTCGGAACAGCAGCTGACCTCGCCTGGGTCAGGATGTTTGGACTGAGTACGAGCTCAGGCTGGCAGGTCAGAGAGGAGCGAGGTTTTCCTGAGGGGGGGAAGATGTTGAGGCAGGGTTAGAGTCAGAGGGACAAAGATGAGAAGAAAGCAGGCGACAGCCTACATAGGAAGAGTCCTGGGTGGAGGGACACAAGTACAGCATCTTGGATGAGGGACAAGGAACAGGAACAAAGTAGACTGGGGATGACGTCAAACGGAGGGTAGGAGAAAGGGAAACTGACAAAAGGGTTCAGATCAGTAGACCATTGGGAGCAAATGTGTAAGCAGGAGGTGGGCACAATATGATGACCCGCGACGCCAGCCTTACAGGGTGCCCCTCTCACCTCACATGTGTTCCTCCTTCAGGGGTGGGAACAGTGTCTGCACAAGGGCTCTGTAAGTGACGGCTATCTCCTCTTCCCAGGGGACAAACGCTTCGAGTGCGCCCAGTGTCAGAAGCGCTTCATGAGGAGTGACCACCTCACGAAGCATTACAAGACCCACCTGGTCACGAAGAACTTGTAAGGCCAGCTGGGGCAGGAGGCCCCGAAGATGCAATCCCCCGTCTGTGTCCCGCCTGGGCCTCCAGCAAAAAGGAGGCCCCGGCTGCCCCAGGCCTGCCCGCAGCCCTTCCCTCCTGTTCTGCGACTGTCCCCACAGGAAGGGGCTCTGCTGCCCTGCACTCGCCTCCTTCTGAAGCCCCTTGGCTCCGCCCTAGCCCTTCCCTCTCACCACGAGCTCCCGGCCTGCCCAGACTGTGGACACTGGCCGTGCCCAATGAGACGTTCTAAACCAGGACGAGTGGGAACCCTTATTTCCAAAGGAAAAACATGAATTTCACTCCGTCGAGGAGCAAAGTGAGCCCCCCCCAACACTGCCGGAGTCGCATCGTGCCATGCCCCTCTCTCTCCTGCACCTTCCTGGTCCCGCCAGCCACCGTGGATGCCCCAGGGCCGTGCACCCAGGGCACCGCTGGCACTGCCTCAGAAAGGCTCCAGAGGCCACCTCCACTCCACTCCACACGCCCCAGCCCCGCCACAACTCCCCTCCAGCACATTCCAACTTTCTATTTAAAAAGTAAAGCTACCCACAGACTCCCTGACTCCCCTCTTTTTCTATGGAGAACGTTGCCTTATACTCGACTTCAGATGATGAACACTGTGTATTGTGTGTGCTTTAAAGAAGTTTTATTTAATTGCTCCCCTCCTCCCGTCCTTGTGTCTCATCTCCCCATGCCTGCTTTCAGTTTAGGGTTTTGGGGGGGCAATAATGAGCATACGAATCTTTTTCTCACTCTAGCAATTCTCTTTTCTAAATGACATAGCATTTCAACTCGAATCTGGATTCAGATAAAAACACCTTCACATCCTGAACCTCTCCCGTCCCCCTTCATCTCACCCACCCAACCGGCCCAAGCTCTACTTGTGTACAGTGTATATTGTATAATAGACGATTGTGTCTACTACATGTTTAAAAACATATTGCTTGTTATTTTTGAGGCTTTTAAATTAAACAAAATCCAACTTTATTTTTAGTTGTAACTGCTTGAGGTATGTTTTATGAATTAAGTGACAGATTTGTTATCCTTTATTAACGATGTACTTTGTTGGTCAGCACTGGGCTGACAAAAATTTTTTCTTGCTAATAAATTTAGTTGCCTGAGGCAAAATCTGCAACTTGGCAGCGCAGCCTCCTTTGTCTTTTACCTCTGAGAGCTTGGAGAGGAGACTCCAGGGGAGGGAGCCCCGGTCTCAGAGCCATCCACACTGGGACGGAGGCAGGACCTTGCCCTCCGGACCTCAGCAAATCCAGGCCACAGCCCAGAAGGGGCCGTGGCCACATGGACCCTGTGGCATTGGTATGAGCCCCCCAACACCTGGGTGGGATCTCCAGGGGACAGGGTCTGGTGCAGGCGTACCTGCTTTGTCCTTCTATGAGCCAGTTTTGCTCAGACCAAAGCAGGCACACTCTGCCCCAGACTCAAGTCACAGCAATGCCTTCCTCATCAGCAAGATACTTCTGCCACTCAACTCGCCAACCCTGGAGGAAGGCTTTGGCCTCAGAACCTGCTGGTAAGAAGCCTGGGAGAGAGAGCCAGAGGGGCCTCAGCTCAGTCACTTCCAGAAGACTAAAGAGTGGAGAAAATGCGATTCCCTCAGGGCCGAGATCCCTTCCCAGGGTGGAGGGCCAGGCCGGGAATGTACTTCTACCCAAGAGAAGACCCTGGCTGCAGATTCTGCGTTTCTTCTATCTTCTCACCCCAGCACCCCAGGGAGGGCAGCGGGCTGATTTTGGTTTTAGAAAGTGCTGCAGATCTGAAATTTTGGTGGGGATAAGGGGCCAGGGGTGCAGAGCTATTAGGAGCCCAGGCATTGTGATGTTATGCAGGCTGAGATTGGAGCTCCCTCAGTACAGGTGTTTAAACCTGGCGGGGGCCTGCAGAGCATCTGGGCTGAAGGGAGAGTAGGGTTGTGGTCAAGCCCATAGAGAACAGGCTGTGCTTTCCTTGTAAAGACAACGTCTTTTCCTCACCCTCAACAGGACACAGCCAGGGGTGCTGTTCTGAGCGGGAGTGGCAAGGGTCATTTTGAGCTATCCATTCCCTCACTCTGTTTCCTTTGTCACAGCTTTTCCTTAGAGCCAGTCCACCCTGACATTAGCTGAAGAAATAAAAAGGAGATGGGTCTCGGATGGATCACTTCTTTTAACAGGCAGGGAGACCCATCCCACCCATACTTAGGCGCTTTGGCAATACCACACCAACAGCTGAATCTACCCTGGCACAGAAGCCTCTTAACCAGCCATCAGCCCTACATCTCATCGCTGCACTGGCAGGAGGAAGACGTGAAGGGTATTTATCTCTTCCTCATGCGCAGATTTCGTGACTGGAAAACTGCTTTGCTGAGTTCTGAATTGGGATCAGTGAGGTGAAGGGGAATATTAACAAATTGACCTCTTTCTGCACATGTTCCCTTGCTTTTCTCTCAGGCAGAGAGAATCATCCTTTCCTGTGAGCTGATTCCAAGTCACGTGCTTTATGCTTCACATGCAGAAACCGACCTGACTCCTCGACATCCTTTGGAAATGGGGGTGCCAGCCCCCAGCGGGCAGAACAGCATGCTGGCACTCGGGATTTCCCTTCTCCAGTGAGACGCACGAGTTCAAAAGTGATGCCTGACCATCTCTGCCGCCCACGGGACGCCTGAGTTAGAAAGGGCCCGAGAGCATACATTCTGCCTAGCGAGGATGTTGGCCTAAGAAAAGAATGGAGAGACCTGGTGGCAAATTCGCCCTCATCTGGCTTTAATCCATCCCTTATGTACTTGAGAGTTGCAGGGGCGAGGACTGTCGGCAGTGTGATGTAGCCCAAGCTCACCCCAGGCCAGAGGCCTCCCCAGGACACCTATTCAGCCCTGGTTGAAAATCTGGGAGCGGCCCACCCCCAGCAGCTCGAGAGTGGGGGCCACACAGCCTGAGTTCCCTCCTCTGCCCACTTTCCTCTGCAGGGTCGTCGGTACCAACCCTCACTGCCCCCTCCTGTCTCTTCAGTGATGCTCAACGCCACAGTTCACTGAACCCAGATACCAGAATTACAAGCCGGAAAGAAAAGGGAGCCAGGGAAGGTCCCCCTCCTGAAGGCAAAGTCCTTTTCTTTTTTAACTAAACCAACAAATAGAGCTCAGGCTTCCTTCAAACCACTCAGTCCATGTTTACGATCACCTTTTGAGGGCCCTTCGAGGCCCAGACTTGAGTTTCAGGATGGAAGCCACCTGCAGCACCCCACGGCCCTGGACCCGTCAGGGGCTCATGGCTGATGGAATGTGGCTGAGGTCTACACGGGGGTGGAGTCCAGGGAACCTAACTCGGGGTGAGACACTACAAAGACCTCATGTAACCTGACCAAGGTCTCCGGGGCTGGGATGAAGCCACTAAAGGAACTGCAGTAATCTCGGGACAGGTGGCAGCTGGGTTTCTAGTGAAGGGATCCTCAGGAAGTAGAGGAGCAGGAAGTGAGCCTGGGAAGATGGAATAAAGAACAGGGGTGTGGCTGAAAAGAAAGCAAACCATGTGGGATACGGCAGAGAATCAGGGCTTGGAGAGGAGAGTTGAACACCTGCTCATCAGGATCCTGGGCAAGAGGAAAGAGAAATGACCACCGGGCAGGCCAAAAGCAAGGCCCGACCAGGATTTCTTTTTCTAATTTCTTATTTATTTATTTTTCCCCCAAAGCCCCAGTAGATAGTTGTATGTCATAGCTGCACATCCTTCTAGTTGCTGTATGTGGGACGCGGCCTCAGCATGGCCGGAGAAGCGGTGCGTTGGTGCACGCCCGGGATCCGAACCCAGGCCGCCAGTAGCGGAGCGCGCGCACTTAACCGCTAAGCCACGGGGCTGGCTCTGGCCCCCCGACCAGGATTTCTCAAATGAACTGAAGAAGCCACCAGGTCGTATTCTTTGGGCCTGCTGAGACCCAGCCAGCAGGCCTCCTCCCTCTGCGTGCGGCCCCCACGCTAATTACCAAGGCGGCCAGTGCGGGCCTGAGACTGATGCCCTAATACCTTGCTCAGCCTTGGAAAGCTTAACATCCCTCCAGCCAACAAAGACATTCAGCCCCGCTCCTACCAGGTGCAAAAAACCCCAAGCCCCACTCACTAGGCCCAGCACCGGTCCAGAGAAGCTGAGCAAAAGTGGTTTCTGCATCAACGGTACAGACTAGCATTTCCTGGCTGGGATTTTGAGAAGGAGCTAGAGAAAGAAGAGACGCAGTCCCTCCCATGAAGGCCGTTCTAATAGAGAACAGGTATGAAAATGATGGGACGTGTTTGAGAAGTGACCATGAGCACACGCAGGGATCGTGCTCGGGGTTAACCACATAACCACAGGCAGGACACATGGGTAAGGGTCAGCCTCCTCTGCATCCCTCCTCTGGGCCTCCTGATAACCACACTCAGGGCTCAGGCACCTAGTGGCAGAGCACCAAGTCCCCATCCTTCTCTGTGTCCTGAGGCTCCAAGCTAAGTTCACTGCAAGGCTGGGTCCGAGAATTCCTGAGCTTAGGGCCCCAGCACGCACCTCTTCTGGCCTGCCACTGGCCTCCTAGAAGGCTGGGTGCTATATTTCACCAGCATCATTACCATCTCCTGGGCCCTCTTCCCTTCTCAGACATTCTCATCACCCCCCATGGCTTCAGGTGCCACCTCGGAGGCTCCTGACAGCTAGACCGGTATCATTAGCCCAGACCTCTCCCCTAAGCTCCAGACTTGATTGTCCAACCCGACCAAACGTGGGTGTCCCGTAAACCCTCACACTCAACAGGTCTGATGGTGACTTCCTCTTTCCCCCAAAGCTCATCCTCCAGCATGCCCCACTTCAATGAACAGCCCTGTCCATGTCTCCTAAAGTCATCCTAGTGAGTCGATTCCCTCCTCTCCACCCCACTCCCCACACCCAGGCACCAGGCTCCCTGCTCCCACTTCGACAACACTGCGGTGTCTCCCACCGTCTCCCTGCCACCACCTTGCCCTCCCTCACCCATCACCCACTTGGACACCAGAGCCAGGTCCCAAAACACAATCACTAAGATATAACTGAAATATATAATTCCATCAAACAATCAACTAAAAGGTGATTTAAGAACATAAATGCAAAAGCATCAGAAGAAAACAGACAAGGCATAGTTCCCAAACCCACACACAGCCTTTTCGTTGCACATTGAAACACCAGTGCGCCTCTCCGTACAATGGAATATTGCAATATGTCTTCTATTCATTTAAGACTTTCTCGAGAAAAGATTAATAATTTTACAAAGTTGGAGGGGAGGGTGGCAAAGTGTTCAAGAAAAAGCAGTAACAATGAAAAATTCATTTCTCCCCCACAGACAAAACCCTTGCGGGGGTTGCGCCGTAGCAGCACAGTCAGCGGGCGCGATCCCCCCTCTGGTTTGCGCTGCGGGGCTGCTTTGTGATCCAGACACCAAATCCCACTAGGCAGAGAGGCACAACACAAGCCTACTTACTATCTTCAAGACAGAGAGGAAAATATGAAAAGGCAACCCGTTGCAACCTTCCTCACTAATCGCCAAGGATGGGAGAGGCTGCTGGAATCTAGTACTTTTTCTTTCCATCTGGCCTTAAAAAAACAGGATTTAGACCCTCTGGCTCGACAACAGCACAGGATAAAAAAACAGAATCATCGTCTAAAAGCTTGGCCCTCACCATCTGCCTGATCTTCAGCAGGCACTCCAAGCCCCTGCCTCCTTGTCTGGCCTGTTTGCTTACCATCTCACTCTAGCATATCACACACGCATCGTTCCCTCCTCCTGGCATGCCTGTTCCATTGGCCATCTGGGACGCACTCACTCATTAAGACAAATCAAATGCCCGCTTCACTTACGAAGCCTTTCCTGACTGACCTCTGGAGACCACTTCCCCCTTACCTCACAGAAACATCTCTTAAAGTACCTGTAACTCTTTAGCTTACAGATCTGCCTCCCCCTATAGACGATAAGCCCCTCGTGGGCAGGAACCATGTTGTCTTCTTCGTCTTAGTATTCTCAGACTTAGCTCAGTGCCTGGTCCAAAAGAAGTCTTTAACAAATGTCTACTGAATGAATAAATATCTACCCCACTGCACTGAGCTCTTGGCTTCTAAGCAAACCCTTCAAATGATCCTAGTCTTGGTCCCCTAGAATGCTGGAGCCAGGGTAGCGTAGCCCAGCAGTGCTAAGAGTGTGGCCCCATGAGCTGAAGGGCACTAACTACTGCTTACACCGGTTCAAGTGCAGGGGCTTGGGAGGAGGCGAGGACAGCAATGATCACATGTGGGAAGATAATCTCAACCAGAAAGTCCAGTCAACTCTCTCTATCATGTTAATGGAGGAAAACAATGGCACCACAAAGAATTCCAACCAGTGGAGAATCCATAGATCAACATCATTAAGCCTTAAGATATGTATTAAGTCTTTGCAGCAAATTTGTCTCCCAGATTCTATTTGGCTCAAGCTACGCACACACAATAAAGGATAACAGTATCTAATGTAGGGCTGTACAAAGCTTAGCTGTAATGCAGACACCTGGGCAGGGTGGGAAGTTCCCCTTACCTGGCACAGTCCTGGGGTGCCTGCCTAGATGACTCTTGAAGCTCCCCTTCCTGATGATGGTGGAAACCAGGACTACAGAGAGCCCTTGACCCAAGGCTGCCCCAGCCAGGTCAAAGCTGGAATGGGCACTGGCAGATTTCCCATTTCTCAGCCCTGCATCCACAGCCTGAAAGTGGCTTTGCACAGCCATCTGCTACCGTGTGCCCTTGGCTATGGCTGGCATTGACCTAGGAACTAGACTCCCACTACCTAGGAAGGGCAAAATGTGGAAAAGGGGAAATTCGGCAAAGATAGGGGAGGCCCAGGGAGGTGGGACAGTGGCAACCTTTCCATCTACCAGAGCACTGGCTAGCATGAACTACACTGCACAATGAAAGGGGAAACCATGAGCCAAGGGAGCAGCATGCTCAGGCTGGAGAGAGGGGTCCACAGCTGGGAGAAGAAGATGGCTCTGTTCTGGGACGGCTTGATGCCAAATTTCCCTCTTTCCCTTTCCCATTCTGTCGACTCCCTTCTCACCCCACAGTCTCTTCCTGACCCAGTGCACCTCCCTGGACCCCAGAGTATCTCCACACACCCACACTACACCCACCTATCCCGTGTGGTCCACAAGTCACTTCAACCTCTCCCTCTCTCCAGCCCCAATTTCTTCCCACAACCAGATCGCCCCGTTCTCTGTAGCTCCCTATCGCCTTGCCTCAGAATCTGACCCCTAATTCCATTTTCCATTTGTCCTTTTCCAGGCCATCAGCCTCCCCCCAGGGGGTACTTTCTGCACTAGGCTCGCCTTCAGGCACCTACGAGGGGCCAGCCACTTAATACTGACCCCTCCCCTCGAGCCCCCAGCGGCTCATCCCCCGCCCCCGCCTGGGCTGCAGCAGTCCCTATACCTTTAACAAACCTCCACGTGCGTGTTAACGGCGGTGACAGCGTTTCCTCGTCTCTCTGCTCCCGCCCCCAGAGGCGCCGCCCATTGGCCGCTGGGTTCCCCTATTCTCGCTCTAATTGGCCTCGCTCCCGGAAAACTCCAACCAATGGCCTCTCCGCGCCTGTCTCCCTCCTCCGGCCCTGGGCTCCCATTGGCTCCGAGGACTTAGGGCCTGATAGCCGGGCTTGGCGACTGGCAAATTCTTCCTTCCCCGGGGTAGAGTCCCGGGCTGGGAAACTGGTTCCGAACCCAACGGAACCCAGCGCCGGGCGACGCCGGGTCACGTGGCCGACGGCCCAATGACGTGCCGGCTGTGGGGCGTCATCGTGACGTTCGGGCGATCATCCGAGTGGCCCCGCTACCTCTGCCACCTCCGCCACCTGTGCGGCCGCGGTGCTGTCATGGACCTGGGACCCATGCGCAAGAGTTACCGCGGGGACCGAGAGGTGCCGCCGCCGGGCAGGGCCTCCGCAGGGGCGGGGGAACAGGAGTCATCTCCGGAGGGGAGGGGAGGAGGAGGAACCCCACGAGCTTTGTGGGGTCACCTCCGAGGGAGAGGGGGGTTCAGAGACCACCAGCAGGGGAGGGGTTCCGGGGGAACGAAGATGAAGATGGGCTCGAGAGGAGGCTTGTGTAGTGGAGCGGGAACTCGGGAGCCGGCCTGGGCTGGAATCGTGCCGTTCACGGGGGGCACCACCTTGAGCAGTTTACTTAACCTCTCTGGGCCTGCGCTTCCTCGCCTGGGAAGTGATAGTACCTGTCTCTCAGGGATGTGAGGGACTTAGATGTTTGTGAAGTGCTTAGAACAGTGATATTCTTCCAGCTAATCCATGATAAATAAGTAACACATGGAGGAAGAGGGGGATGCTCCTAGCTCTTGCTGCCTTCTGTCCCTTCGCTTACCACTTGGAGAAGTTCTTTTCCTTTTCCCTCCTCAGGAGAGGAACCAAGAAAAGTGTTTTGGAATTGCAGCCCGGAACCACGGTTACCAAATGTGTTTGCATGGGATCATTTCTGGAAATGCTTGTTAAAAATGCAGTTTTTCAGGGCCGGCCCCGTGGCTTAGCGGTTAAGTGCATGTGCTCTGCTACTGGCGGCCCCGGGTTGGGATCCTGGGCGCGCACCAACGCACCGCTTCTCTGGCCAAGCTGAGGCGACGTCCCACATACAGCAACTAGAAGGATGTGCAGCTATGACGTACAACTATCTACTGGGGGGCTTTGGTGAAAAAAAGGAGGAAGATTGGCAATGGATGTTAGCTCAGAGCCAGTCTTCCTCAGCAAAAAGAGGAGGATTAGCATGGATGTTACCTCAGGGCTGATCTTTGTCAAAAAAAAAAAAAATGCAATTTTTAATTAAACCTCAGACCTACTGAATGAGAATTTATGGGGGTGGAGCCCAAGAATTCTGTCTTTTCTTTTAGGCTCCCCATGTGATAGGTTTGACACCCATGACATGAAACTGTGATTCATCTGTCACCAGCTGTGGGACCTGGCAGGTTATTCCACCTTTTTATGCCTGTGTCCTCACCTGTAAAGTGGGGCCAGCAGAACCCACTTCCTGGGTCCTGTTTTCTGTTATGAGGTCATTGTCCTGGGTCCTGTTTTCTGTTATGAGGTCATTGTTATGAGGACTAAACGAGTTAATATTTGAAAAGTGCCTAGAACAGTGCCACATACACAATAAGCACTATATGTGTTTATTAAATGAAATAAAACTCTCCCTTCCCAGGCATTTGAGGAGGCTCAGCTGACCTCCCTGGACCCCATGAAGCAGTTTGCTGCCTGGTTCGAGGAGGCTGTTCAGTGTCCTGACATAGGGGAAGCCAATGCCATGTGTCTGGCTACCTGCACCAGGTGGGCATAGTTGTGGGATCTTCTGTGGGTGGGTGCAGATGAAGTGGGAAACTTAGGAAGCTCTCAATTTGATGGATGCCAACTTTATGGTTCTAGCTCTGTTATTAACTTGCTTTGTGGCCTCAAGCAAGTTACTTGTTCTCTCTGAGCCTCAGTGTCCTTACCTATAAATCAAAGATCAGACTTCACTCAATTCCATTTCAATGATAAAATGCAGCACCTCATTCATCTCTGCCCTTGATGCACCCACACACACACCCTTGCCTCCCTCATCTCCCTAGCTACCCTATTCCCATCTGCCCTTTAAGAGCTACATCTCCTGGGACCTCTCCATGAAGCTCTCTCCCTCTCTTGAAACCTAGTGCAGCGCTTGGCTGCATCACTCATTTGGTGATCAATCATATACCCCATGAGATATCTCTTGCTTTAGCCTCTTATTCAACTCTTCTTGTCCCCCCTTACAAAAGTGTAAGGCCTTGATGCGGGCTCTTATGGTGTGCCCCTGGGTGTCCCCCGAGCTCTGGGTAGAGGATCTGATATAACTGCACCTTCTGTGATCCCTAAGCATTGGCTGATTGCTGCCCGTAGAGCCTTGTTTCTTTGCTGGGGCTGCCATAACAAAATACCACAGACTGGGTGGCTTCAACAACAGAAATTTATTTTCTCACAGTCTGGAAGCTAGAAGTCCAAGATCCAAGGTGCTGTCAGCGTTGGTTTCTAGTGAGGCCTCTCCCCCTGGCTTGCAGATGGCCACCTTCCTGCTGTGTCCTCACATGACCTTTCCTTTATGCACACAGGGAGGGAGAGGAAGAGAGCTCTCTGGTATCTCTTCCTCTTCTTGTAAGGACACCAGTCCTTTTGGAGTCGAGTCCCACCCTTATAACCTTATTTAACCTTACTTACTTCCCTAGAGGCCCTATCTCCAAATACAGTCATATTGGGGTTAGAGCTTCAATGTAGGATCTTAGGGGGACACAGTTCAGTCCATGACAGGGCCCCAGGCAGTGGTGTCATACTTGCACCTCCAGGACAGATCCGCAGGGGCAAGTGGGCATGGGTAGCTTGAGTGTGCAGATGGTACAGAATAAGGGCACGCAGCTGAAGGTGTGCTCAGACATCCTGTGGGGAGGGACAGTAGGGAGGACATTGAAATGGGCCCTGACTGCTGCACTCTGCTCTTTGCCCCAGAGATGGGAAGCCGTCTGCCCGCATGGTGCTGCTGAAGGGCTTTGGCAAGGATGGCTTCCGTTTCTTCACTAACTTCGAGAGTCGAAAGGGAAAAGAGCTGGTGAGGGTTCACGGTAAATCTTTCCTGGGCCTGGAGGGTCCAGCCCTTGCCTCCTGGGTCACCTTCTCATGCCACCCCCGCCCCACCCCACCTGCTGTCCGTGCTCAGGCTCTGGCCTGCCTGCGGGCCTTTGCACCTGCTGTTCTCTTTGCCATAAATGAATGCTCTCTAACCTCCTACTTCTGTCATCTGTTTACCTAAGTAACTCCTGTTCTTGGGTCTCAGCCCCAACATTTCCTCCTCAGGAAAGCCTTCCTTCACTCCTGCGGTGAGTCGGCCCTCACACTGTTTGCTCTCGTTATAACTTGTAACTTTCCTTTTTGCGTTTTTTTCAGTTTCTAACTATGCATTTGTTTACGTGGTTACTGTTTGTCTCTGCTGCTAAACGGTGAGCCCCATGGAGGGCGGAGGCTGCATCCGTTGCATCTCTGTTACACCCCCAGCGTCGCTCCTGGGCTCGAGCAGAGTTGGCACTTGTATGCATTCAGTTCATGAATCCAGATGAGCAGCCCTCCCTGGGTCCAGTGCAGCCACACATGCATTTCTGAGGACTTGCAGATCTATGGATGAGATAAATGGCAAAGCCTCACTTTGGAGTCCTGGCTTAGGTTTCCAACACAGCTCTGCCACTTGCTGTGTGAACTTGGGCATGTTACTTAACCTCTCTGAGCCTGTCTCCACACCTGTAAAAGTAGGCCTGCATTTGAGGGTTTAAATGAGATATTACAGAGAATGCATCTGCTGTGGGCCCGGAGGCTGCAGACTTCCTGCCTTCCCCCCGCATGCCAGAGGTGTCCGCTGCTGTGCTGATCGCTGTCCATGGGTTCTCTTTCATTTCTAGGACTCTAATCCCTTCGCTTCCATTGTCTTCTACTGGGAGCCCCTAAACCGTCAGGTGAGTGAGCATTCCCGGGACAGCCTGGGGGGGGGCTGGGTTGGGAGGGGCCTGAATTTATAGATGAGCCCAGTGGAGGTCTGCAGGCTGGGCAAACGTCCTGTCTCTCAAAGAGCTCTTAGTTAGCTGGTCTAGTTGGAGCCAGCAGTGGATAAGGAGGAGAGAGAGAAGAATGGGGCCTGTGCTGGTAGGGAGGGCAGGAGGCATCGAATGCCACCCAGCCAGGGCCCTCCCTGAGCAGGTGCGTGTGGAGGGCCCTGTGAAGAAGCTGCCCGAGGAGGAGGCCGAGTGCTACTTCCACTCCCGCCCCAAAAGCAGCCAGATTGGGGCCGTGGTCAGTCACCAGAGCTCCGTGATCCCCGATCGGGAGGTGAGTGGGGCTCCTCCTTGGCCCTCCGGGTGGTGAGGGCCCTGGCTCATCCCCAGAGGCTGTCCCCAGGGGATGCCAGGGCCCTATCTCTCTATCAAAGTTAAAAGGACGATCTCCCTGGGGAAATGCAGATTGGGACTGGGGAAGCGGGCCTCCTGTATCTGTCTGACCCTCCCGTTGGACTGTACTCCCAGAGGGCAGAGCCAGCCAGCCTCGCTCACCCAGCACCTGGCACAGAGCACATGCTCAGTAAGTGGTTATTAAGTGAATCATTGACCAGGTCTGACCGTTCCTCCACCTCCTTCCCCTGGACAGTATCTGAGAAAGAAAAACGAGGAACTGGAGCAGCTCTACCGGGAACAAGAGGTGCCGAAGCCAAAATACTGGTGAGTGATACCTGGTGGTCGTCTCGAAAGGGACACCAGGACCCTCACGTTTACTTAAAGCCACCCAGTCTGTGGAATACAGATCTACTCTTCCCTGTCAACCCTCGTCAGATGCATCCCGGCAACCTCCTTCAAGGGGCCCTGGGATGGTGGTGGGAGGGTGACATGGCTGGAAAAACGCACAGAGCCCCGAAGCCTCTGCTTCTCCTTGTAGGGGTGGCTACGTCCTGGACCCGCAGGTGATGGAGTTCTGGCAGGGCCAAACCAACCGCCTGCACGACCGGATCATCTTTCGGCGGGGCCTCCAGACAGGAGACCCCCCTTTGGGGCCCATGACCCACCGCGGGGAGGAAGGCTGGCTCTACGAGAGACTTGCGCCCTGACTCCCAGTCTGCCCGGGCTCACGGGAGTGGGGGCTGGCTGCTGAAAGAGGATGTGCGATGGGAGCCAGACCCCTCTAAACTCAACCTGTTTCCGTCCCCACCTGTATAATTAGGGCTCTTCAAAGTTCATTCTCCAAGTCCTCTGTTCTCAGTTGGCTCTCAATTAGCTGGTCTAGTGGAGTGTAACGGTGGCATAGAGAATCACAAATGGAAAGTAACCCCATATTTTCTTGACCTTGACTATGATTTATTGGAATAGTTCCATCTAGGGGTAGCAGCTGATGTGATTCCCTTTTCTGGTGACACAGGGTGAGGAGCAGCGACCCGGTCTGTTACCATGTGACTGAGTCATCCTGACCAAAGCCAGTTGGTCCCAGCACAGGCACCCAAGCCAATCTAGCCTATCGGTTTTTTGTTTTTGTTTTTGTTTTTATTTATTTTTTTCCCCCAAAGCCCCAGTAGATAGTTGTATGTCATAGTTGCACAGCCTTCTAGTTGCTGTATGTGGGACGCGGCCTCAGCATGGTCAGAGAAGCGGTGCGTCAGTGCACAGCCGGGATCTGAACCCGGGCCTCCCGCAGCAGAGCGTACGCACTTAACCGCTAAGCCACGGGGCCGGCCCCAGCCTATGGGTTTTTCTTGTCAACAATCTGAAATTGGAAATGGAGAGACCCAGAGCATGGGAGTCACTGTAGCCAAGTCATTAATGGCAGCCAAGAAGCAACAGCCTGTGCTGCCCTTTGTAATTCCCTGAGCGGCCCTGGATCCCTCCTTCCCACGTCTGGGCTGTGCAATTCCTCCTCCTGCCTCAAACACCTACTATCTCTAAAAAAAAAACTTGGGGCATAAACTAGCTGGAATCGATTTCTGTTGCTTGCAACCAAAAGAACCTTAACTAACTCATTTATTAATAGATATTTTTATAGCACTCTACTGATAGCTGCCTTTCATTATCTGAAGCACAGCAATGCAGAAAAGAGATTAAATTTATTCCCGGTAGCTCCAGAGGACCCATAGGTGGAAGTTGCACAGACGTAGATTTCATCTCAATATGGGGAGAGATTTCAAACAATCGGGGCTGGCTAGGAGGGCTGCCTGTTAGGTAGTGAGTGTTCTGTCACTGGAAGTATTCAATCCCCGTCAGGAGTTTTGTAGAAGGGATTCATGTGCTGGTACCTACAGGCCAGGAAGATTTTAATCAAGCTTTACTTTCCATGTTTGTTTATGAAAACTACATATGTGTGTATACATACATACATATATGTATTTAATATATATTTTTTACTTTCCAGGTATAAAATTAAATTATTATAGAGATTATCCTTTCTGATTACTCATCCCCCTCCCCTAGTCCTCACCCCCCTGATGATGACTCAGATCCCTGGCTTTCGTCCATGCTGGAATTACCCAGGGAGCTTTAAAAACCCTGATGCCTGGGTCCCACCCTCAGAGGTGATTAACTCATCTGAGTACAGCCTGGGCTTTGGGAAATTTAAAAGCTCCCCAGGGAATTCTGTGCAGCCAAGGTTGAGACCCCTGGTCTAGATCCTTGCTACTCAGTGTGGTCCACAGGCCAGCAGCAGCAGCATCACTTGGGAGCCTCCCCAGACCCAATGAATCCCCTTCTGCATTTAACAAGACGCCCCAGGTGCGCGCACAGCCTCAACCTGTAAACCAACAGCCTCCCGCCCTCACAATTGGATTCTTCAGTAACCCTCGGCTAAGGCCTGTGCTGAACTGCATTTGCTTTCCTTGAGCACATATCTGGAGACCAGGGACAGCCTGGATGAGTAGCCTACAGGCTTCGGAGAGGAGCCAGGCTGGGTAAATGTTTGCTGTGACTAAGCTGGGATCAGAGAACTGACTATTATTTGTGCATGTTGGCGTTGAACTTGCCACTCTGTAAACTGTGCTTCATTTCACTGGAAGGGTGTGTGCTTCAGCGTCTCTGTTATGGACCAGCTCCTCCAAGGGCTGCCCTCTGGGTTTGATCCCTCCTTAAGCCTGAGTGCAGGAAGGCACAACACTAACCCTGCGGCCACCTACAGGAGAGGGTCCTGGAGCGCCCTTCCCTACCTTGTCCTGTTTGTGTTATTGGTGGCTGTGTATCCCCCCAGCTTTGAGCCTGGTCTCGGCTGTTCCTTTCCTGTTCTCTGCCCGACAATCACTGTGCCAAGTCTGTAATAAAAGCCCGTCAGCTGTGCGTGATATTAGTGTTCAACCTGGACTGGTCTCGCCCCCACCCCTCAGGAAGGAGGGGAGTTGGGGAGTTTAAGTGACTGGCCTCCCACCTCCTCCTCTCTGGGTAGGTGTAGGTTGGGTGTCCAGCAGGGGGAGCCCACCACCCAGGGTTGGTCCCTTCTGGGCTGTGCAGGCCAGTTCTGGCCGGCCCCTCCTGCCTCCCCCTTCCCCTCCGTTGGGTTGTGTCCCAGTGAAACTGTGGTCGATAACCCGTAGCCTCTCCCAGCTCCTGCACATATTTGCACTCTCGGTTCCTCCTCAGTTCCTCCTCCTCCTGCTCCTCCTTCTCCTCTGGCCTTGTGAAAACTGCCTGGGCTCTGACTCCCTGGACAGCCAGATCTCCCTTTGGATTTTAGTACCCGCCTTGTCCACTGATCCCCAAGCTTAGGGATATATGTGGAGCTTCACCGGAAGATTCCCACAGACATCACTTGGGGGCTGTGGAGCAGGGTTGCATGCACGAGGTGGAGGAGCCACAAACCTTCTCACCTAAGAGGAGCAGTGGTGGCAATGTGGTGCCAGTATTGGGTAGAACCACTGGTTGGTGGCCCAGGGCCCAGCCTCATGCCCCGCCTCGCCTCAGGGAACCCCAGGATGGGCTGAAGTGGCAGGTCCCTACAGTCTGGGGTCTCAGGGGACACTCAGCCTCAAAGCTGGTTGGCTTTCCTCCCCTGGTTCCAGAGTCTGTACAGCCCCCTCGAATGGTGCTCACCTCCCAGGATCCCAAGGCCCAGGCATTGCCCTCTCTCACCCCACCTCCCCTTCTGCAGAAGGTGACTGTGCTCCTTTCCTTGTTCTGATCCTCAGTTTCCCATCACCACCCCCCCGCCCTCAGCAGATGAAAATCAAGTGTGATAGGGGCTGTGTGGTGCAGTGGTCATGGGCACAGGCCAGCCCTGGCTACAGTTCCAGCTCCACCGCTGCAAGCCTGCCTGACCCAGGGCAAGGGACTTAACACCTAGGGTGAGGGATTTAACCTCTCTAAGCCTCAGCTAACCCACCTGGAAAATGGGGATAATGACAGCACCTGTCTCCGTGATTAGAGGATTAAGTGAGGAACCTCCGGGAGTACTTGCCACAGGGCCTGGCCGCACGCTCTCTGTAAATGTCAGCTATTAACACAGGGCAGGGCTGGAGTGCCGGAAAGTCTGTGCTCCTCCACCGGAGGCTCTATGGATTGAGAAATTGTGGGACCCTAGAAAGTTCCTTGTGGTGGGGAGGGATGGGGAAGAGGCCTTGTGGAAGGCAGCACACCTGAGCTGCCTTCCCTCCCTCCCAGCTCCTGGTCTTCCTCACTCTTCCTCCGAGTTCCCCCTGGCCTGGGTGAGGCCACCTAACAAAGGTCCCCTTGTACGGGTCTGTTTGTTTTGGTAATAAATTTCTGCAGTAACGCTCCCGGGGTGGGGTGGCCCCTGCAGCCTGCAAGGAGCTGACCCAGAAGCTGCAGGACCACACTGTTTAGTCGCCACCTTAGTCTCTCCCTGTTCCCACCCTGAGCTCTAGAGATTTGGCCAATTTTTTCCCAATTCCCAGATCCTGGAGCTTGAGAAAGAGCTGGAAGTAGCAACACGGGGAGCGAGCTCTCTCCTCTGTCTCACACAGAAGCTGAGAAACCTACGTGGCCTAGGGTGGAGTTCCTGAATAAAGGAAAGGGGGAAGGAAGCCAGTATGCACTGAGCACCTAGTATACAACTACTTATGGGCTCCTTAATACTGACCACTCCCTGGGAAATAGGATTGTCGCAGCCCCTTTTACAGAAGAGGAAACTGAGGCTCAGAGGAAGTGTTTTTTTAATGTTCCCCAAATCGCCCAGCTACTAAGGAGTGGAACCAGAATTTGAATCCTGATCCCAAACAAACCACTGCAACTTTGGGGCCAGTCACCAAAGGTCTGCTTCACTCTTGGGGCTCCTGATGGCCTCTCTGCTGACCGGAAGGAACCGTGCCCTGAGGTGTAACTAGCTCCTTCCTTTGCTCTCTCCACCCCCAGATGCTAAGGATGGCTTGGTGGTGAAATGAGCGTCCCAGTTACTACATTTTCACACCCAGGGACCCTGCCCGAAGCTTGAAAGGAACTGTTCGAACACAAAGTTCCACAGGAAGGGAGTAAAGGCATGAAAAGCAGTCATGTCAATAAATGCAAGACGAGCATAAATAGGTTCTCTGCTTTTGCAGCATTGTTTATTATAAAGAGAGAAACCTACAATTATTTTTCTAAACAAAATTCAAGTCTCACTCATTTCTGGGGCTGATCCGTCTTAAATACTCAGAGGGGAAGGAGAGAGGAGAATGGGCTGCTTTTAGCCCCTACCAGAGCTTCCCAACCCCTGCCCCTAGTTTGGAATCAGGCCAATGTGTCTTCCCTTTGAGGATGTGTGCAGGAACCCGTGGGGTCCCTCATTCTGGCCTTCTGCAGCATCCCTCCCTAGGAGTGCCAGAGTCCTCCCCCGCACACCTGGGGGCAAAGTTCCAGGAAGTTTCCCACTCCTGTTAGGAGGTGAGCTCAAGTTCAGCGTCTCTGCCTCCGGCTCCAGAAAACCACCCCCCATCACGTGGTTTCTGGAAAATGTGCTCTCAGAATCTGTCCAGGGAACAGTCATGGGTAGAGAAAGTAGAAGGAGCAGCAGTTCAAACTCACCCTTGACCCTGTGCCCTGGGAGGAGGTGACGTCAGTCGGGCTCCCTCTCTCCATTCCTGGCCATGCCCACTTCCCTGCTGGCGCTGCTACCACCTCAAGGAGAGCTGTCCTTCCTGGGGGCACTTTTCCTCCTCGGACTGGAGCGCCTTTGTCTGTGGTGGGGGAGGGTGGGAGGCCCGGGATCTCCCTGGCCTTCCCGCCTTCCCGAAAGCAGGGGCACATAAATACAAGCCTAAAACCAGACATTTCCTGCCAGCAGGCGACTGCCTCCACGGCTTCAGCTGTGGCCAAAGAGGCCAGCGTGGCGCTCCTGTCTCAGATCCGGCTGACGGCAGGGAGTGGGGAGGCGCTAGCACCCTCCTTGGCCCCCTTCACTGTCCTTTGCCCTCCCTGTCTTCAAAGAGGTTGGGGTTCTCTGCCAGCGTGGCTCGGACTTTGCTCTTCTCCTTGAAGCGGCCCGAGTGGGAGACTTTGACATGCTTGCCCTTGGTGTTCTTGTCCACAATCTTCTCCAGGCGCGTGTTAAAGCTGCTGTTGGGGCCCTCCCCATCAGGCCTCGGGGGCTCCGCGCCGCCCTCGGTTTGGGCGTAGGTGTCAGGGATCTCATACAGCACCCTGGGGGTGGATTTCTTTTTCCTGAGGAACGTCAGCTTCCACCAACCAACTTCCGTCATGGCGCTCCTGAGCTGAGGGTGGGCTTTCTGCAGGAGCAGGGTGGGGGAGACAGAGGGGTCAGTGGCGAGAAAGGGGGATGCCTTGGAGCAGCCCTCTCCAGACCCCTAATCATGGGCTGTTTTCATAGCCCAGGCCAGAAAGGATTGAAGGTGGGGCCAGATGAACCCCGGACTCAGGAAAGGGATGCAGTCCTTTTGGAGAATAGGAGAAGAGGGGTCTGGGAAGGGGCCACAAAGTCAACATTGACGAGGAAGCCATGTGAGCCAGGCCGAGGGGGCAGGGGGGCAACCATACCCCATTGCCACACAGCTCTGAGGTTCTAGTCCTCTCAGGGCGCAGGAAGGTGGACAACTTGTCCAGGTCACACAGTATCCAGGCCTTTGACCCTCTTCCCAAGCTCTTCCCGCTCCACTACCGGCCCTGCTGCCCGGAGCAGACAGACGGTCAACCGGGGTCAGACGGACAGAAACACCCTGTGCACCTTGCTTGGAATTCATTACAAAATTAAACAAGATTTGGGATGTATGGAGAAATCTGGACTTCCCAGGGGTGACCAGCAGGACTCCAGGAGCTGCTGGGCTTTTTCTAAGGGGAAGGAACCTCCGGCTGGGAGCAGGAAGTCCTGGGACTGTTCCAGCCTCGTGACCTCCGGCAAGTCGTTTCTCTGGACCTCAGCGTCCTCTTCCATCCCTTTCAGCCCTAATATTTAGCTCTGACATGAATGCCTGCCCAGCGGTAGACAGGCTTTGCAAAGTAAAACTTATGATAACAGTAATAACTGCTGAGGGATGGCTCCCTTTCCCCCACCCAGCTTCCACAAGGACAGGGTTTTGAAGGAGAGCTGAAAATTTGGAAGGCAGTTTAGTGGGGCCAGGAGGTACATGTGAGATAGTGTTATCACAGGCGCGACCCTCCATAAGGATACCCAACAGAGATGGGGCTGAAATCCAGGCCTCTCCACTGACAAGGATGTGCCCTGATACGGACGTGGCCTCACCATTTACTAATTTCTACAAAGCTGCTGTCTGAGCTAGCAGAAGTTCTGAGAGATGAGCATCACAAGAAGAAGAGACAGGAGACTAGAGGAATTAAGATCAATGAAGAGCAGGCAGGGTGACAAGAAATGGAGGCGTCTCTGGGCCTGGAGAGGTTGGTGGTCAGGTCTCAGGACTCCTGGGTGCAGCTGGGAAAGATCCCGGCGGGAGGGACAACGGCCACAGTACACCAGAAAGCTAGATGGTCAGCTGGCCCAAGCACAGGCAAATATATCACCTCCTTTTAAAAACAGATGGTCTAAATTACATTTTTTAAAAAGACCAGAAAACACTATGACAAATGATTGATAGTGGTTTTCTTTATGTAGAGGGAGTAGGAGATGCCTTCTCCCCTCTATTTTTCTGATTTCCAGATTTTCCATAATGAGTATGGATTTTTTAAAGAGGAGGAACATATCAAATTTAGGAAAAATGAAAGCAGGATGCTGGCCTAGGCTTGGAAAGAGTTGAGTGCCCACGTCCATGGCCCCCTTGCATGTTGTCCCTTGTCCCTCCATATACCCACCCCCTTGCCCAGAGCTCCCACCCAGTGGATTCCTTCCCACCTCTTTGTCCAGGAAGCAGATCCCACATTGCCAGCTCTGTCCCTCTAACTGAGCTCAAGCAGCAAGAGAAGCCGGGGGGATCTTGTGCAGCGTCCACTCAGAAAGTGAAGGAGGGGGTGAGAGTGGCCAGATAAATACCTTCAGGGTACCCTGGAGAGGTGAGCGCACCAAGGGGACAGCCTGAGAGGTTTGCTTTGGCAGCTTGCCCCTCCTGGGCTTAGCACAGCCTTGCACAGAACTCGGTGTTCCAGAATGGGTTTCTGGAAGGAGTTTTGGGGCGGGCAGGGAAGGAGGGACAGAGTGCTTGCTTGGCCTGTGGGTACCCCAGTTGCTGACTGGTCTGGGGCAAGGCCCACGGCCCCACCACCGCCCATCCAGGACTGCCAAGGAACTTGGGGAGTGGAGGATCCAGCTCCTGAACCAACAGTAACCACCAGACTGCCTAGCTCCACGAGAGGAAGTGGCTTCTGCTGTGCCAGTTAAAATATACCTGCTTTAACGGGTATTTCAAGTTGGCATTCACAGGGCTTAACTCTCTTTGGAGTAAAGGGAGCAACAGATCACAAGGAACTTGTCAGAAAACCATAGAGAGTGTCTGGAACAGACCTTGGACCCTGCCCTGGGGCCTCCACCACGGCACCAAGGCATCGGTGCCCTTGTCTGCTGGCCTTGAACTCTGGTCTCTCTGTCCCCTCTGTCCAGGAGGATGTGCGAGCACCAGTAAGCATGGTGGTGGTCCTGTGAGCCTGACATAAGCAAATCTGAATTTACAGAACAGCTAAACAAGCAGACTATTTTTTGTTTTACAAAATAGCCCAGCTACAAGATTCTTTTAAATAGTGAACTATCCCCAAGAGTGTAAAATCTGATTTGCTTAAAAAAAAAAAAAAAAGAAAATGATGTAATATCCAAACTTCCCAGCTATCCCAGGTAGCAAAGAGCAAGACACTACAGCCACAACCCACACCTGATCACAGAAGGCCGAGGAGACTGGGGGGCGGGGGTGTACTTGGATTTCGAACAGACCCAGCGTTTGGTAACATGTGGTGGGCCCTGCAGTCTGATGGGCAGGGCCCTGAGCTGGCCAAGCAGAGGGCTGGGCCCATGCCCTGGGGCCCTACAATCCATGGATGATAGAAATCAGCCCCTGAGGATGCCAGCTACACCTCCACTGTTTGCACAGCTTTGGAGCCCACAAATGCTCCATAAAGGCCTGCCACCCCCTGCCTATGGCGCCCAGCACCATGGCACACATGTGGGCACCCCTGGAAGGGCCCTACCACCCCAGTTGAGTTCTGTGAGCTGCTCTAAGGCCCTTGCCCAGACTGGGCTGGACTCTTTCGGAGCTGGGACAAGTTAACCATTGACTGGGGTGGAGGGGCAGGGGTGGAAGGGGGTGTTGAGGGAGCAAGTCAGCTTCTACGTTGTAAGACAAAACCCAGAACCCACATCCCACCCCTCTGCAGGGTCCCTGATGGCGCGTCACCACTCTGGATAAGACTGGGGTACCCTGGACAAGAACAGGGAGATGTTCCTACCAGACAGCCTGAAACATCCTCCAGGCCGGGGGATAGGAGGCGGTAGGCACCAGTTCAGCAAGAGTTAATAAAGAACTGCTCTGGAGTGAAACTTGCCCAGAATGAGCGCTGCTGGAGGCCTGGATTGACTCCAAGAAGCCAGTGGGATGAGTCCGAGTTCTGCCTGCCCACCTTGGGAGATATGGGGGCTGGCATGCCTGGGTTCCCCCTCCCAGCTAAGCTTGTCAGCCATGGAGGCAGAACTGGGTGCCCTGACTGGGGTCTGTGCCTTGGTTTCCCCACCCACCCACCCTCTGCCTGTACCTGTAATCCGACTGCTCCGGGCTGGAGGCGAGACCTTAGAGAAGGAGCTGAGTGTAGGAACTGCCAGGGAGGGTGACTGGGGGAGGTGGGGGTGCCTCCAGGGGGCCACGCCAGGCAAGGCTCAGGCCAGGAGAGCCGGGTAGGAGCAGCTGCTCGGCAGGTGCAAGAGAAACAGGTGCAGGAGTGAGTGAGTACCTGCTCCTCTGCGGCTCCAGGAGTCAAGGTGAACCTGAAACCCAGCCCCTCCCGCTAAGTAAACAGAAGCAGAGGCCGGCTCGGCTGATGAATATTCATCACCCCAGAAATCCAATCTCGGTGCCCCTGCACCTACCCAGAAGCCAGGGTCCTCCAGGGACCGCCTAGCCGGGAGGAAGGAATCCCAAGGGAAGTCTGGGGCAGGGGAAACACTAGAGCCTCTCTCCTCAGTTTCCCCACTCTCCGTGCCTGGTTGTATCCCCAGCTACAGCCAAGATCACCCCCACCTGTTTCATCCCCCAAAGAGGCTCAGACCCCTCTCCAGCACAGACGGCTCCTGGGATGTTGCCCTGGGCACAACCAGGAAAGGGTTAAGAGCCGCTGCTCCCGTTGGCCTGGCTGACAGGGTGCACCCAGTTCCTTTGAACTCCAGAGTCGAAACCAGTCCCTGGTTAAACTGGTTGGCAGACCGGTTCCCAGGCTGTCTGCTCAATGCTCCTCAGGTGTGCGCTGGGTGGGGGGCTGTAACTCCCTCCTGCCCTGAAGGGCCCCTCCTCAAGATTTCCCAGGGGTGGGGTGGGGAGGTGGCACTGGCCCTTCCTTGGGCCAGGCTCTCCAGACCCACTGCAACCTCGAACATCCTTCTCCCCTCCTCCCTCACGTAGAGGTGGGCTTGAGGGGCCTTGAAACCATATGCAAAATTCCACATGTGTGGGCAGAGGGGCATTTATTTTTCTGTCTACGGGATCGTACTTTTATCAGACTCTCAAAGAGAACTGTGACGGGCTCCCCACCCCCAAAGTACCACTTCATTCAACTTTCCCCAAACTTCCAGCCATCCACTGGATGGGTCTTACTGGGTATTATAAAGTCAGCAAAACCTGGGGCAAGCTCTCAGGGAAGGAGGGGCTGGGGCCCTGGGGAGGAGGGAAGAGGGGGAAAGGCAAGAAGGCAGGCTGTGGGCACACGCTGGGGGTGAGGGCAGAGTGTGGGCACACCAGGGGTGACGACCTCACTGATCCGAAGCCACACCTCCCCCCGCAAACCTCCATTAGCCAAGCTGTGTGCACCCCCAGCCGGGGCTGCTGTTACAGAGGGTGCCGTGCCTTGGAGGTTTTCTGCAGCCACCCTCAGGTGGCCTCTTTGTGTTTGTGTCTCTCTCCCCTGGAAGGGGCGTCACTGGAGATTGGAAAACATCTGCTGCGTGTTCAGTGTCCCCACAGCTTCTTGTCCCAGTGCTGCCCACTGAGCCTAGATGCTCAACCCACCCTCCCAGCTACCTTCCTCCATGGCCCGAGTGTGCATGTGCCAGGCCTGGAGCGGGGCACTGGGGAGAGAAAAGGCACAATTCCCCCTTTCCCTGGCTCCCCCTGTGCGTTACATTTTAAATCCTAACTAACCAAGTCTCAAACCTGCCCACCATCTCTAACCCTGCTTCTACTTGGTTCAGCTTCTCGCAGCCTCTTGAGTTCCTATTCCCCTCCATCCTAAATAGCCCTAGGCCTCAGGTGGACAGTCCTTCAAAGGCTCCCCATGGCCCGCAGGGGAACCCACTCAGCCTGGCTCTCCTAGGATGGGACCCCTGCTGCCTCCTCTCCCAGCCCTCCCTGAATTCACACACTAGGCCGTTTCTCTGCCGACCTTCCTGGGTGCCGAGGCTACCTAGGAAAGTGAGATTAGGAATGCGTGCTGTGCTCTAGGCCAAGAATGGCCTCCCTACCCCCTGTGTAAACCAAGACAAACTCCTATTCATCCCTCAAGAACTGAATTAATTATTATGCCTCCTACTCCACCAGGAATTTTCTTGTTTCTACAGAGCTTGCTCATATGCTTCTATTTAACATGATATATACCATAATTGATTAGACTGTGTATGTATATATAACACACATATATACATATATAGTATTGTAATGATCTATTCATGTGTTTCCTCCCTTTTAGAATTTTAGCTCCTTGAGCCCAGAATTGTCTATTACTGATACAGACCTGACATATAGTAGGTACTAAATGCAAGCTTTAGAACACAAATGAGAAACAGAAGTATTGTCTTTACCCTAAGAAATCCTTAACGTAGCCAGTTGCCTTTGTCTCACTCTCCCTCTGGCAAGTAAATGTGAGAGAAAACCCATTTATTTTACTTCTTGTGGGTTCAGCTACAGCAGGCTTGCTGTTAGTTATCATCTTCCTGGGGAGGGGGGAGGTTTGTGAATTGGAGGACATTATTTTGCAAGATCCCCCTGCCTCTAGTAAGAAGTGTACACAGTTGTCCCAGGAAGGTGCCCACAGCTTTTTAGACCTGTCACTTTCTTTGAAAGTCCAGTCTATCTGAGAGTGGATGAGCCCAGAAGACACCGGAAGAGGCAAAAAACTCATTCTGGCTCAGGTGTTGGGAAGAGACCGGGAGGATGGTGGAATGGGCACTAGCCTGAGGGACAGTAACCAAGGACCAGGGCACTGTTTCCATCTGGGCTTGTACTGGTGACATTCATTCTCCTCAATTCCAAAGTCCAGACCTTTCTGAAGTCTGGGACCCAGGGGGGCAGAATCCTGTTCTCTCAGCCCCACACAGGAGAAGGAGCCCCAGTGAGAACCGCAGTGGGCAGGATTCAGTGTCGCCCACCTGTGGCCTGCCCCTCAGAGAACACCACCAGGACCAGGTGCAGGCCGTGGCGGGAGCAGCCTGGGAAGTCAGGCCCAACCCCTGGCCTTCGGGAGATTTATTTCTGGGAGGAGCAGGGTTGGGAGAGGAGTTTGAGATAAGGCTATAAACTATGAATATCCATTAATCAGATCACCCACACACACACCACTTTATTGCTTTATAAAGTTGTTTACCTTTAAATGCACCTTCATAAAACTAGGTTAATGCGTGATATTCCATATACAAACACACAATGTGCACGTTTTCAGAAATGTGTCCTTGTTGAGTAAAGAAAGTAAAATACACCTAAGGGAGCCTCAAGGACCTTGTGCCCTGTTGGGGCACGCAGCCACGGGGCCCCATTGGATTACAGATCATTCCTCTCTTACTGACCTCTGCCCAAGGAGCAGATCTAGGCTCCGGGGGTATTTCTTTCCCGAAGCAGGGAAAAGAGAGGAGTTGTCATTCTCCTCAGCACTCCCCGTTCTCTGGAAGGCCAGGAGACTGGAGCTCCTCGGGTGCCCAGCCTGGTGGAGGTGACAAGTGGGGCAAGAAAAAGGCTAGTCCCCAGGAGCTACACCAGGTCAGCTGGGGGGCAGGCAAGGGCGAGCGGAAGCTGCATTCTGATCTGAGGCAGGTAGTGGGGTTGCCATTGGAGGGAGCTTTCCCCTTCTTTTTGTGGGGGGTCTTCCCATCAGGGAGACCTCAGTGTGGTAGTGGGGATATGAGCAGCCAATATTCACGAGGAATCTGTTCCAGGCACGGTTCCAAATGTTCTGCATGTGTGAACTCTTACTCCTCATCAGCAGCGGAGGTGGGTCCTCCACATGGCTACACTGACTTGCACCCCGACAAGCAATTTTCCTGTTACTCTGTATTAGTTTCCCGGGGCTGCTGTAACAAGTTACCACAAACTTGATGGCTTTAAACAACAGCAATTTATTCTCTCACAGTTCTGGAGGTCAGAAGTCCGAAATCAGTTTCACTGGCCAAGACCAAGGTGTTAGCAGGGCCATGATCCCTCTGGAGGTTCCTCCTCCAGCTTCTGGTGGCTGTAGGCATTCCTTGGCTTGTGGCCACATCATTCCCATCTCTGCCTCCTCCATCCTCACATCACCTTCTCCTCTCTCGTGTGTCTAATCTCCCTCTGCCTCTCTCTTTTTTGTGTGTGTGAGGAAGATCAGCCCTGAGCTAACATCCATGCCAATCCTCCTCTTTTTGCTGAGGAAGACTGGCCCTGAGCTAACATCTATTGCCAATCCTCCTCCTTTTTTTTCCCCAAAGCCCCAGTAGATAGTTGTATGTCATAGTTGCACATCCTTCTAGTTGCTGTATGTGGAACGTGGCCTCAGCATGGCCGGAGAAGCGGTGTATCTGTGCACGCCCAGATCCGAACCCGGGTCGCCAGCAGTGGAGCACTCACACTTAACCGCTACACCACGGGGCCGGCCCCTGCCTCTCTCTTATAAGAACACTTGTGATAGCATTCAGGGCCCACCCAGATAATCCAGGATGACCTCCTCATCTTAAGATCCTTAACTTAATCATATTGGCAAAGACTCTTTTTCCAAATAAGGTAACATTCACAGGTTCCAGAGATTTGACTGGACGTCTTATGTGTGCGTGTATGGCGGGGCCAGTGGGGGTTCGCCCCTCCATAGTCTTCATTCTGACCACCTCTGTATTGTCAGACTGTGGTAGTCAATGAACGTGCCACCCAGACACCCTTTGAGGAAGGACTTGCTGCCTTCCTCAGGAGTTGGGCTCCAGCTGTCAGCTCCTTCAGGGTCTGCCTCAGCTGCCACCTCACCCGCAGGCATGCCCTTCTGGGGCAGCCTGCACCTGGAGATATAAAGTCCAGCCATTTCAGCCCCATGAAGGACACTGTGAGGGGCAATATTCACTCCAGGGCTCACCGCCAAATTGGCTAGAGCTTGTCACGCCTGCATTACAGTCGGATTTCGCCCTCTGCCCAGTCCTCCTTCTGTCTGGTTTCTCTCACAGGAAGTGATCTCTAATAAACACCTTGCCCCCAAAACTTCTCCTACTTCTGGAAAACACATCCTGTGACACAAAGATTTTAATTTTTGCCAGTATGATAGAAGTGATGTGGTGATCTCTGTGTCTTTTATATTTACATTTCCCTAGAGTACTGGAGTGAATAGTGTCCCCCAAAATTCATGCCCCAGAATGTGACCTTATTTGGAAACAGGGTCTTTGCAGATGTAATTAGTTAAGATGAGGTCATACAGGATTAAACTCAAGGACTCTTGTCCGTATCAGAGGAGAGACACAGAGACACACAGGGAGAAGGCCGGGGGATGACGGAAGCAGAGACTGGAATGATGTAGTTGCAGGCCAAGGAACACCAGGAGCCAGGCAAGAGGCATGGAACACATTCTCCCTCAGAGCCA